CCGGCCGACCCGACGTGAAACTCAAATATAACCTTACTAAACGTTTTCAAAAAAATAGATTATCACACAATGATTGGTAAATGGCATAAAATACATAACTCGATATTGCAACTCGTATTTTAAATACTTTTCGGATAATAAAGAAAAAGACAGCATGGGCTCCGAAATTATTAATAGAAACCAAGGCAGGAACTATAACGTCTGTACTGAGACTTTTAATTTACTTCATACTCTGAGATTTAAGAATATAATGCATGTAGTCCTGACTTCACAAAGTATAGGCTTACAGCAGACTTATATCAATTTGTCACCGTCACAGACAGCCCCAAGCTCCTTAGTACCAACCTCCAAAGGCCAAACACATGTAAAACATGCTACAGACTTTTTCAGTTACATTTTAATTTAATAATTTTTAATTTTAATTTTTTCAACAACGAAGCTTTTGCTATATTTATCGCCAACTCTACAGTAGGTTTCCTCCTCAACACGACAGAGCAGTTGAGAGTAAAGACACAAACGGTGCATAGGATCGATACTATTTTGTCTACCGTCGCTCTAAGCGAACTTTAAACAAAACATACGAACTTCAGTAAGCGCCACTCACTCCACACACGTGGTTTATGCGACAGAAGGCTTCATGCAGACATAACAGACTGTAAAACTTGACTGTCTTTGCGAAGCAAAATGCATAGCTCTGGCGAGAAAACCACGTAAATGCGCGACGCTGTAAACTTATCACAAAAACCCCTCTGGGATGATAAGCTAATTTCTGATATAACATTAGGGATTAAAGACTAATGAAGAATCTGTCTACACGTGTTACTGATTTTCCAAGAACTCGTCATCAACCGTCATATATCAGTCAACTGTAAAATGTAACAAATATTGAATCGAATTATCAATCAATGCTGTGAACTAAAAGGTCCCAAAGCCTTTGTTTTATATTATGCAGTAAAAAGGTGCTTATGTATGAATCACCACGGTTACAAGTCTTTTTGGTTCTGCAAACAATAAAATTTAACAAACTCTCTAGTACCAGAACACACATCTTCTACCAAACACTTAACTCAATTCTTGGTCAGTACTATCCACATCGAAACTTCAAAACATACATCTCTACATTAACTACAATATTATTATTCGGTCTTCTAGGCCGTCCACGCATCCGTTTTCCAACACGTTTTTCTACTAAGAATGTTGTAAGTACTCATTTACTCACTCAGGCTATCTACACGTCCAGCCTACCAATAATTTCAGTGTTACATACAGTATTACAAACGTAATGTCCTAAACTACACACTCACTACATCATATTTTGGGCCCAATATTTTTTGAGTAGGGCTGCTTTTATCTACAAACATATGTCGTCTATATGCCTCCTTCTAGTCAGATCCCACACGTCAAAATTATATACAGATTCGAACACAGTGCTTGGAAAACAGACTGACGGGAGAACAGTAAACGTTACAAAATACACATGAAAACACTCTCGAATTTATGTACGTGCCAAAAATAAATCTTCCGGACGCCAATCAAGTACGAGGTAGAATCCCAGACAAAGTTGTCGCTGTGCCAACCCTCACGCTCTGAAACTGTATTGTGGGCGCAGACCACGCATTCTAGACCTCGACACTACTCAAAGACTGAGTGGCGACGAGCTTCACACTCTAGCCAATGTGATGTTGTGCTTTCTGAAAATGAATAGCCCCAAAACTATTCTGGACATTTTCATGAAAATTTAAACTCGATGTTGCAACAGCAAATTAAAAGATTCTACGTAATTAATATCAGTTCAATTATAGTTCAAACGAGTATTTTTATGCTGATGAAAAGAGAGAATTCTCTGAGTTATACAGAATATTTAGGACGTTATTTCTGGGTTCATTCCCAAACAGAAATATTGCATAAACACGGGTCAATTGTCAAAATTTAAGATGAATTGAACGGCACAAATCACGATTACAGATGTTCTTCCAGCATGACGGGAAACCCCACATTTCAGTCGATACGTAACGGAGTTCAGGATGTGTCTCTGGCCGGTGGACTGGCCGTGGTGATCTGCAGAATAAGCCACTGCGGTCACCGGACCTCACTTCCCTAGATTTTTATAAGGTTACATGAAAGATGTGGTGTGTGAACGCAAAGAAAATAAGAGAAAGACAACATAATCTAATTTCATTTCTGCACGACACACGAGTGGCCTGAATGTTTTATTTACGTTCAAATCATCACAAATTTCAACAACCTGTAGCACGGTAACAATTAATAGTCGGACCTATATTCATTAACATTTCTGAGTGTAAATCAAATCCTGAATTATCCACATAAAGTTGTCGGACATTGTTTCCCCCACCATTGTTAGAGCAGGAGAGCGAATATTGATGTCCTTAACTGATAACTGCCCAAATTAAGCTTTTAGAAACACTAAAACAAAGGACATAAGTAAACCTGTCCCGCTACACGCCATACAGGCGTTTGGGGGGAGCGGAGGTATAGCTCCTATTCATTCTTAATCTCGGCACTAGATAGAGGTGAGTGGATAGTGTCACGTTCCGGCCGTGCTTTACCCTCGGGAAAGGACCCCGGAACCCATTGGACAGGAGGCTGGGTTGGCTCCAGAGCCGGTTTGGACGCAGAGGCTAGAGGAGAAAATCCTCTGACCCCGTCGAGGATTATACGCAAATAAACCGCCTACTATACCCAGAAACAAGAATTTATAGACTGGACATGAACACAATTAATTAACAATCACTATGAAATTTCTTAAATCTTTCTCTCAAATCTAGGCTGAAGGAGAGTGTAAAACTGAAATAACATTTCTTACTGAAAACTGTTGGTAACGAATCGTAGCCACAACGAAAACGCCACAGGATTTAGTCTGTTATAAATGCGGAACTTCTGGTGCAATGAACTCCTGACTTCTTTGATCAGCTGCCTGGTCTAAAGAATTTAAAAGGCGATAGGGCGTGGTTGAATACATAAATCTTCTGATTTCCTTTTCCAAGGTCTCCATGATGCACTGTGAGGATCCAGGGCCTAATTCAAAGCAGAACATACAATCCCACGGAAACATTTCCTGTCCATGCCATTACGAATTACTGTTGCAAATATAACTAGCTCAATACTCGTACGATAAGCAAGTAATGTCTAGGAATAAGTAGGCTTAGTACGTGTCTGTATCCTGGTAACAACATTCCTCAGTCGAATCACGAAAAAGGATAATTTTTTAATAAAATTTCTTACGGGCGACGGCCAACTGTTTACAAAAACCTTTACCTTTTCATAAGTTTTCATCTAATATTTTTTAAAGTTGTAGACTTATTTGTATTTCAGGTAGAGTCATATAATTACCCAAATGTTTTAAATCCAGATCTACACTGAGCATGTATGAGCCGGGATAGCTCAGTTGGTATAGTGACTAGCTACGGGCTGGACGACCGGGGGTCGATCCCCGACGGGGGCAGAGGATTTTTCCTCTAGCCTCTGCGTCCAGACCGGCTCTGGGGCCCACCCAGCCTCCTCTACAATGGGTACCGGGGTCCTTTCCCGGGGGTAAAGCCGGCCGGGGCGTGATGCTGACCACTCACCCCCATCTAGTGCCGAGGTCAAGGAAGAGAGGAGCTATACCTCCACTCCCCCCAAGCGCCTACATGGCGTATAGTGGGACAAACTTTACTTTTACTTACAGTGAGCATGTCGGAATTAATGTAAAAGGTTAGTTTTCTCTCCTGTGACCGAAACGTGTGTTAGTGCCGGAAAATAGAAACAAAACAAGTAGCCATTCTCTTCTCTTTGCCTTTACCATTAAAAACTAAGCATGGAACCACACGCTTCTTTCTGTGGTGAGTGTTCAGTGAAGCAAAATTAAATATCTTCTCGGTTACGTAGCTTTCAACCCGATAAATGAGGTATTGATTATCTAAATGTACGTCTGACAGATTGTGTATGTGACATAAGTTGTGAAATAGCTTTACTTCCTACCATCCACTCACATTCACAGAGATGACGTTCTCTTACCAAGAATGCAGAACACAGTTACTGGGAGTTGATTAAATTTTGCGTACCACGTATAAATAGGAACCAGTTACTATTCCGTTTCATTAATCTGAGGGAAATTAACACAAAATATACTAAACACTCTTATAATGCCATATTCAGAAACTTTAGTATGTCCGACTAACACTGAGTTCATAACAACTGAATCTATACTTCCTAAACTTAAGTCTCAGTTGTTCCTATGCCTCTAACTTCGCGATGTTATCGCTCGAACAGCGAGATTCATGATTCGCTAAATTAAGAGTTAAAATCATAGTTATATTTCATTTAAAATTACCAAAAAACAAAAATAAATTTGTTCTAATACAATGCTAATAACTACTGTCAAGAAAGAATTGTTTTAAGCACAAAGTAGTATTAATTTGCTAATTATAAGAGACTGAAAACATTTTAAATCTCTTAACTTATATTGACACTTTAGAGTTTCTATCCCTGATGGGAAAGTTTTAACTTTTTAACTTCCATTTTATTAAAATCTCATATTACAGTTCATGGCGTTGCTTGTGCTGGAGATTCGATGTCTGTTAAAGCTCATATGGCAACAAAGTACATGCGACTCTCGTTATACGCGGAGATGCATTCCTACAAATCGCCATGCACATTTAGAAAGCGTAAAGTGGGAAACGTATAACAATAGCCATTTTTTTTAAACTTGATCCAAAATAATTTAATGCTAAGCTCATCATCCGCATCACATTGCCTGATAAGCCTAGAGACGGTTCGACGCATGTAATAGGCTTTTAGATTTAACCGCGGATAGGATATTGATGCTCCTGATGGCACTGAAGTAAAACCGCGGACATGTGAAAAAGCAGATGGCATAAGGGCGTGTAACTAAGTTACTTGTAATAATTAAAACGTCTTTTAGAAAAAATTTACATATGAAATTCCCTGGGAAGTTAGGTACTGTGCCGATAAAATCTAAATTCACGTTGAAATCATACCTGTACGTGGTGGTCTAAAGCTTTTTTTTATCGCGATGTGATGAGTACTTCATGCGTTTTGTGATGCATCTGGAAATAAAAGAAATTCAATAATAACAATGACAATAATACTGATAAAATATCAGGAAGGCATATGATATCTTTACAAACCACAACACACCAAAAACCAGCTTCAAAAGAACCTCAAAGTCTGTCTGAATGAAACTTTATCATGGCGAGCGCTATGACGATATTTCTATCAGCTTGAATTACTGTGGTCCTATTTATCTGATTTTCAGATGTGAAAACAAGTGAATGTAATACGAGCAGATGCCTATGGCGTAGCCCTAGTGTATGATCGTTGTGAATGTTACCTTGACTCTTCATTGCATGTGGCTGCGTCAGTTAACCATTGTAATTGGGACACATTATACATTAATGCACAACGCTACTGGCAGAATGGTTTTACAGTTTCAGCGAAATGTAAGTATTTTGTTTCCAGACAGACGTATTTTAGTTTTGTACTCGTGATATCCTCAGGCATATATTATTACATCAGACTGTAATAACCTCAGAATTAAAAGCACAGATGTTTCAACGAAAATTTAACAAAAAAACTGGTTTCTTTATTCTATGGTTCTTTGCCTTGGTGTCCATTTAGTGAAGTACTGTTGCAGAACTAATGGCTCTACACATATAACACTGCGCAGAAATTAGTTTTCGTCGTTAATTGTTTATTACACTGAATATTTATTTTTGAGGTTACGCCTATTTAATGCTCACTTTATTAACATTTTTTACTCCGAGCCGAATTTTAGAAAAAAGACTAAGTTTAACTGAGCTTGTTGTTAACTATAACTCATAGTAAACTTACACGAATTACTTTATCCTATAATTAGTGTAGAAACTAATACAAAATTTCACTTAAGTCCGCTCAGTAATTTCCTAGATGAAATATGCGGACACTCAAAATGACTAAGGCCATAACCTACGTATGTATTTATTTCATAGAAAAGAACATTAATGTAGTTTAATTTTTTAGAAGGCAGCTCTGTGCATTTAAGATACTGTTACTACATAAACATCAGATTTCAGATAGAACTAATCAAGAACATCAGGATTTTTTTCTTTAAAGAGGGATTTAAGACGTGTCATTACGTCTATAAGAACTTATATATCCCGGGCAGAGGCCTATTGTGTTTTCGACCTGTAATGACAGCGGGAGGTTCCTATGAAGGTCAAATGAATTTAAATAAAATGTTCATTACAGTTACACAATTGGTATCACGTCAAGGTGCCTGAGATCAGAATAAGTTGTAACTTATAGAAACGGGCAGCTGGTCGTAAGTTTAACGACATTTCGCACTTCTTATACACAGCATCAACATAAAACATTCAAGAAACGAGAGGCTAGTTTTTAATCAGCGAAGAGTAAGACGAAATTAGAATTCCAGAAGTGAATCTTGACACGATCGCACCTCCACATGAATATTTAAAGCAGTCTACCTTCCCTCTCTTATGTCTTCATAGGTCGTGAATTGTCATTTCTTACTAGCTGCATCTGCGATATATCGTCCCTGTTGTGAAATTCAATTTCCTGCCTTATGTGTTTGCGGGAAACGTTCCAGTCACCCGGGCCAAAGTTTCGTGGGAGAGGGTTCTCTACCTAGAGCTTCTTGACGTAATGAATGAAGTATTTCGTGACCCAGAGAAACAAACCTACGCTCTCTTACATAAACCCAAAAACAAAAGGAAGGTGTGAGGCTTAGTTCCGTCTGTACGAATAGATGATGGTATGATAAAATGGAATGCTTACTAAAGATTCTCCAAACAGCACCCAAACTAATAAACAAACTTACAAACAAAGCAAACTAACTTCAGGTATAGCAGTGACTTTGCTTTCCTTCAGCACTGAATACATGAGCCTACTTAATTTCCGAAGACAGACTCACCGCAGTGAAAACCTCAAGTCCTACTTAATTTCCTTTCCTATTTTCAAGATTTCGTTCGAAGAGGTAATCGAAATGTATCAGGTTCTAATTTACTCCCGTTACTAAGAACAGATCATTACATTTATCTATCGGGACAACCTGTGCCCCGGCCGAGACTCAAACTGGTTGTCTCCCGAAGACGAATATGAAGCATTACTACTTGGACGGATCTGCACTGGGACTTTTCATTAAATTCTGGATAGTTAATTAGCAGCCAGACATTCGGTGAGCCAAAATTAGGTCACGATTATATTACTACGTGTGATCGCTTGAGGCAGTGTAGCTTGTGACCAGCGATGGGCGACAGTTGTCACGCACACTAACTTGGTTCCTCGAGGTGAAGTGTGGTGTATTAATTACCATGTCAATACTTGTGGCTTCTGTAGGCGAAATGACGTTCGTGTGAGAATCAGTTGATACAGGCTGGCTGTCTCCATTATGCACGGTCTTTGAAAAGTTGATAGTCACACATATAGTCAAGAAAGTCCCTGAGTTTATAAAAATCTTTGCAGCAGGAGTTCGTCTAAATAATATCTAAGAATTCAGTTCATACCTCAATGAAAACACGTCACAGTTACGAAGATATACTGGTTACTGTTGTTAGGAAAACAATAGCTGCTTACACCAAGAAACAACCAAGACCCATAGACACACAACACCAAATTAACTGGTTGTTAAAGCAGGTGGCACATACAGCTCCGGGAGGGTTTCACAGAGATAAATTCCCAGTGTTGGACCCCATTCTAACTCGGCTAAACACACACTCATCCAATGTATTTCGTTATCAGTTTTACTGCTGTTTCCATTGGATAGGAGGCTGGGTGGGCCCCAGAGCCGGTCTGAACGCAGTGGCTAGAGGAAAAAAAAACTCTACTCCCGTCGGGGATCGAACCCCGGTCGTCCAGTCCGTAGACATACATCCCATTATATAATTTTATTCATACTTTTGTCCCTTAACCCCTCGGTAATAAAGTTTGGTTATGTATCTGTAACAACATTGCTCGTAAGACGAATGAAATTAAACTTTTATAGGTGCTTTGAGATGGTAGGAGAATCCTTATTACTTTTCACATTCTGTAGAAGGAAGAAGCGACTATCCGGGGAACTGCAGGTGTCGTCAAGCTTCTGTGATGGCCAATCGTGAGTTTGTGGGTTCTTTATTCCATCGATTTCTGCGCGTTGGCACGTTCTTAAAGAATTAATGACCTACGATATGACTGCTGCTACTGTCTCCGACGTGCGGTAGACGGGGGACAAGACTGTGCCTGGCTAGATTCGATCCGAGTTCCCGTCTTCCTCTCTCTCTCTCTCTCTCTCTGCTGTATCCCGTTTCTTCTCTTTTCAACCAACCGCGTCCAAGCTGCTCGACGGAGGATTTCCCTTGTCAACCGACGAAAGAACTAGTCATCATTACATTATGCCACAATGGTTAATATACCACTAACTTTCGAGAATGTATTTGGTGATCGTCTGTAAAATTTTATCACGGCAAGAAATCTACTTCACTGTCTATATTCCATTTCATTTTACTGAAAAGATATAGATACTATACTTTAACGAAGTCCATATGAGACACCATAAAATCTATAATGTTTCCGATTAAGCTTGTTACAGCAACAAATACGTGTACAGACAACATACAGAGTGCCCCACGAAGACTTTACACATTATAATACGGAATATTAAACTTGTGATTCGGTTTCTCACCGCTGTCAACTGCGCCACGAAGCTAACAGTGATCATTTCGAAAACCTACACTAGATTTGCTAATTTACTATGTGGCATTGCTGCAGTGGGTGTATACATATTTTTGGGACATTCTGTATATACAAGGATGTAGACTATGAAGTCAGAATGGTCGTCAAACGCAGATATGGAAGGCGATAGTTATGACAACATACGTAACATCTTCTCAGGGGGGGAAGATCCCAGTGGTTTTCGTAAATGTTCGAGTGCTCTGAACTATTCCTTATTGTTCTGCCTCACTATCTGCAAACGACATTCCCCATGCATTAGATGCAATGCAATCCTGTGAGCGTAAGTGACATTCTGCTGAATGAAATCAATACCACACTACCCAGAGCGAACTGGGGAAGTGTGCACTTAGCTGACTCACACTGTGGCCAGTCCTCTGCTTAGCTTTGTTATAACTGGAAGGTTGCTAGGGTTCCGAGCTGACAAAGTTCCGTAAGAGGTGTTACCTACTCTTCACACAGCATCCACCTAAAACTTGTTCCTGTACCAGGGCATCGGCCGATGACGGCGTTAAGAGAGAGTGGAGATAAACCACAATTTATTCTTAACTTAAGCACTCTATGATGAAGAGTGACCACTTGACGTTTCGGCCGCGTTGCTCACGCGTAAGGAACCTCAAGTACCTACCTGAGAGGAAGCTGAGTAGGTCTGGACCGTATTAAGATCCAAATATTACAAATTTCTTTATGAAGTTCAGTCTTGTTACAAAATGTCTCCAAAGTAGATAAAATGTCCGTCACAACGGATTCTACCCCCCTCGTTTTACACGCATGACAAATCCATAGCCGTTGAGGGAACAGGGAAGCGAGTAACAGCATTAATAAAGGGGATCAGAATACGCCGCGCTCATGCGGCAATTTCTCCGGCACTGCCGTGCGGAAAGAAGTCTAATAACGATACGACAGGGGCTTCCAGACAAACGATGTATGAAAATGGAAGTGTGGAATTTGTGGACAAAAAGCCAACTTAGCATGGACTTGAGGTCGTAGCAGAAGGTAGCGCAGTCAGATAAAGACTATGACTACCACCATCTGCTACGCTTCTGATGCTCTACGTACGACGTTTTATTATTATTATTATTATTATTCCATCTATTCACCATTTTATATGGTGTTTACTTCTTTGTACCTGAGACAAACTTTGCCCCTGAGGTGCATAGTGAAGCAGTTATTTCCGAAATATATTTTGTTTTTAATTTGTGTTACATGTATTATATAATTTTATTGTCTTTCGAATGATGAATGAAGATACTTTATTAATATTATTATTATTATAATCTTCATCATCCGCCACCACTATATGAAATTAAACATAATTGTTTTCGGATGTGCAACTCACCACTAC